AAGGGAAAGGGAGCGGAAAGCAGGGAGAGAAAGGGGGCACGGTTGGTCGGAATAAGACGGGGGGGGGGGGCAAGGAACGGGCAGGGGGCACGGTCGGTCGGAATAAACCAGACGGGGGGGGGCACAGAGGACAGGGGTGCGGGGGCGCAGTCGGTCGGAATAATCAGGGGGGGCTCGTGGGGGGAGGACAAAAAAGGCCACGGGACGGGGATAGCCTTTGACATATCGACACGCCTGCCAACACAGATGGTCGGAGCAGCGCGCAGACAGCAGACATCCCAGCTCGCAGGCCAGCAGACGGGGAGAGGACACACCCCTGCGTTCACAATCCAGGACACGTGCTTTCGCACATCCGAGGGCACGTCGAGCACATTCCATGCACGCATGCCCGCAGACGGAAACGTCGGAACAAGGCGCAGACAGCAGACATCCCAGCACGCAGTCCAGCAGACGGAGACAGGACACACCCCGACGTTCACATTCCAGGACACATATCTTCGCTCGTCCCAGGGCACGTCCAGCACATTTCAGGCACGCATTCTAGTCCAGCGCAATGCCAGCACTCATTCCAGCAAGCGGAGACAGGACACACCACGGCGTTCACAGTCCAGGACACATCCCAAGGCACGTCCAACACATTCCTGGCACGCATTCAAGTCCATCACATTCCAGACACTCATTCCAGCAGACGGAGACAGGACACACCCCGGCGTTCACAGTCCAGGACACATCTCTTCGCACATCCCAGGGCACGTCCACCGCATTCCAGGCACGGTTGGTCGAAATAGTGCAGTGCGAGATCACAATTGTATGTATACATATTTGTATATAGATCACACACACACACACACACACATATATATATATATATATCGATGGACCGTGTCATCGGTCAATGTTGGGGCCCATAGAAGGGCTGCCCCGATGGTTGTCCCTAAATGTGTCACGATGGTGAAATACTTGATTGGTAAAAAAAGGGGTCGGCCAGTAGATGGATACTGAAGCGGGCATGCGCAAACAATGGGCACTTCGTATGTACACACACACATCTCTCTCTCTCTCTATATATATATATATGTGTGTGTACATACATAATCCCATATATATATATATATATACATGTACATGAATAAAATTAGTGGGGTCGCCATGTAAATAGTGGTGTCGGGCTATATGCCGTGGTAACGATATACAATCATGTGTCCGTGAAATACAAACATACGTGTGTATGTGTATATGTGTGTATATATATATATACACATCGATACTTGTATACATGCATACATATGTTACTATATATACACCGATTTGGTCTGTTCGAAGGATGGAACCGTTTGTCCCGACAGTTGCCCAATCGTTGGGTATACCCAACACAACCTGCTCATCGGCCTTCGGCCTTATTTCGAACACATCTACAACTACACGCAACAAAACTGCGCCTTGTTGCGGGGACCAGGAGTGGCAATCATAATCAGTTTTGGCGCGTCGGTCGGTCTGGGTGGATAGACACCGCCTCGCGACCTACGATGGAAGGCGATGGTCGCGCCGACGACGTTGCGTGCCAAGCGTGGAAGCGATCACCATGTTTCACGGCGAGGCTTGGCGGCAAGCGCAAGAAAAATCATAACACGAACAAGCGTTTCACCCTCGGACGGGGAATCTGGCACGAAGAAAAACTCGAAAGCGCGGGGGATCGGATCGCGGATTTGCTGCTGGGCGCAGGCGGGGGAGGGAAGCGGGCTGCGCGAGGTCGAGGCCCCCAGACATACGGCTGGCTTCGCTGAGCCAGGGGATCCGGGATGTCGGTGGGGAGCGGCCCAGGGGGCAGAGCCTCGGCGATGGGCAGCGCGGGCAGCCGATGCTTCGCGAAAAAGGGACACGTGCAGAACGGCACTTAGCGGCCGGGGCGCGGTACACGTTGGGAGCGCGAGTGGCGGCACCCGACATGCACCCCGCCCCGCTGGCTAGGTGTAGTTCTATACGTGCTTCGTTGTGTGAGGATGTCTCTGGCGAAACCAGCACGTACAAAACTACACCTAGTGCCTGGCTAAGTGTAGTTCTGAACGTGCTTGATGTCTCGCGCGGGGCGAGCACGTGCAGACCGGCACCTAGCGAAAGGGACGGGGTACAAGTCGGGTGCGTCGTCGCGCCCCGCCCGCAGAGTCAGGAAGGCAAGGGCCGCTAAACCCCCTGCCGGCCTCTAGGCGGACGTGCCTGAACGTCCCAAGGTTATTTGAAGGAGTTCCAACTGCGGCTTCCGCCCACATCGTTCCCCCTATCAGAGCATCTCGCCTGGTCACTGTGTTCCCCATTCCCGCCCGCTGCTTTGCCCTCCCCCTCCCCCGTTCTTCCTCGACCTGCCGCCCTCCATTTCCCTGAACGTTTCCGAATTGCCCCCGGCCGCTGCGTGGCGGCAAACGCCCGCGCCCCCCCGCAGCTGAAAAACTCACCTTGCGCTCATTCTCCAATCCACTCGTGAGGCGCAATTCTGGATTCCACACTGACACTGGCAAGCGACGTCGAGGCCCTGGCAAATCCGAAAGGCGCGATCGGCCCCCTCGAATGGCGGGCGAACCAATACGTAAGACGATGTCGCAGAAGTAAGTTTGGAATTTGGGGATCCGCGCCAGAAGCTAATCCACTCGCTCAAAGTGTAGTTGTGTGCCTGTCCGATTATTGAATACCCCTCTTCGTTGGTGGAGAAACACCCCCAGAGACTCCACGAGGCATCCAGGAGGTCAGTGGCCTTTTCTGCTCGCCGTTTTCCGAATCGTTTTCTATTTTCCCATCCACCCATTCCTCCTCCCCCCCTCGCGCCCCCCATCGCCCTCCTCCTCCTCCGATTTCTCCTCTATCCTCCCCCACTTTGGGTATGACCGTTTCCTCGGCCTACTATTCAACTGTATGCTCCTCCACATCACTGAACCGGGCTACTCGCAAGGGCATTGTTTCTGGATGCGTTGATGGGCTTACTTTTTGGTACTCGGGCGCGCGAAGAGTCGAACGCCGAGCAAGCTAGGGCGGGCCGGGCTGAAGCAAACGAAAAAACAGCGAAGCGAACGGCAAACGTCACAGAGCGGAACAGAGCATGACACAGCCAAAATGGCGCGGGAGGCGTTACAAAGCAGAACCGAAAATTCGTCCACGAAGGTGCCGATTAGGACGCATGTGCAGTGTGGAAGAGCGTCTGATGGGTTTACTTGTCGGTCGCGTCCGCTAGCGAAGGCACTAGCGGAGTCAGAAGCGCTACGGGTCACGACAGCGGCCTGATTTAGCAGCTAAGCGCGCCGCGAACCGGCCGGCCCGCTCACCCAGCAGCGGCTGACTGTGCGGGGAAGCGGCAAGCTGAGGGCGTCCAGGGTGCTCGAGCACGTGCAACACGGCAAAATGCGGGTGAATTCAAGAAGAGCCATGGCATAACCCAAACGGAGCGGGAGGACAACAGCTGTGGGCCGCGTGCCCAACATGCCGCCTGAGTGCCCAAACGTGGTAGGCGATGGGCCGTCGCCAGGGGGGGCGCCAGGCCCAGGCCGCGCCAACGGCGTGCGCGAGCCAGCTGAGCTGCTCCGCCGAAGACTGCTGAATACCAGGCCTGATGGGTTTACTTGTTTTTGTTTTTTACAGCCGCAGGCGAAGGCGCCGACGGCGAGCGGTCACGGTCGGGCTGCGGCCGCGACTAAATTGCGGGCGCGCGCGGAGCCGCGGATCAGGCGGCGAACAGCGGCAACCCAGGGTGTCTGAGAGGCCAGCGGGCGTGCAATCCCAGGGGATCTGCAAGGACAGCCCAGAAACGCGCAAACGGCAAACCCAGGGAGTCTGAGGGATCAGCCACCGAGGGGAGCCACCGCAGCCAAAATGGCGCGTGGGCGTTCCCACCGTGATCGTAACAAGACGACAGTAAGGTAGGGAACGATCTCCAAGCAGGAAAGTCAGTCCAGGGAGTCTGGCGGGTATGAGCAGAAAGAGCTGGTGACGCGGTCCTGCAGGAAAGTACTCTGACAGCGCCAGCGAACCGTCGCAGCATCAGAACAAGCATCCGTGAGGTGGAAACTGAAGCCCCGCGGGCGCAGGTACGGGTCTTCCACTGCGGAGATGCGCCTGAGCCCAATGGTCCAACGGTCTGGACTGGACCCAGCGGAGGTAACGGCCACTCGATGAGAACGTGAAGTCGCCTGATGGGTTTACGCGAAGCGTCTAGAATTTTCCGGCCAGAGACAGTCAAATCAACAGACTGATTGAAACTGAGCCTGGCATGATACTAAAACTGGCAAGTAACCAATCCCGTGAATGTCTCATGGCTGCTTCGTGGTTGTCCCGTGGTTGTCCCATGGTTGTCCGTGGTTGTCGCGTGATTGTCACATGGCTGTCCCGTGGTTGCCCACGGTTGTCTCGCAATTGTGGCGTGGCTGTCGTGCGAATGTCCCGTCATGAAAAGTACATAGTGGGACCAGTACACGCATATATAATATGTATATATATACTATGTATGTATGTATATATATAACATAAAATATGTAGACATGTCAAACTGTGAGGTGAACAAGTATATGGGTAGTGAGACCAGATGACGGTGAGGCATAGTGGCTTGTTCATAGTGGGACCGATGTATGCATATGTAGATACACGGTTGCAAAGACCAGTAGAAAGGTATACACATAATCATAATGCTCCATGCGCATCTACGTATATGATAAAGTAATGCGATCATTCTATAGATCGCGAACATGAGCCGAAGCCACTTGCAGGCCGAAACCTGCTATCATCTCCCCCCAAAACTCCTTATCACCACAACTGTGGTCTTGTACGTATACAGAAGTAGGGACAAGAGAGCGAGATGACGAGAAAGAGAGAGAGAGAGAGAGAGTTAGCGAGAGAGACTATGGATGGCGAAGGGGGAGGAGGAAGGAACGGAGAGGAGTAGGGGGAGGAGGAGCGAAGAGGAGCGACTCAAAGGACGAAGAGGTGCAGAAGAAGACGGATGGCGGGGGACAGGAGCCGGCCTCCAGCGCCTGCTTGAGGCAACAGCACTTCTCGCAGGCGGAGATGAGCGCGTTGTAGGTCACGATGTCCGGGGCCACGCCCCGAAGCCTCATCTCGTGGAAGACCTGCCCGGGCCGTCGCCGCGCGTCGCCGCCCGCGGGAGGGCGTGATAGGGGGAGCGCCGTCGGCCCCCTCTCCGGGTGTGTGTTTCGCATGCTGTTCGACGCACGACGTGCGGGGGCGGGGAGGGCTCGGCGTCGTCTGCATGATTTTTCCGCGGAAGTTTGAAACGTCTCGGGAGAGGATGAGAAGGAGGAGGAGGAGGACGAGGGCGGGGAGAATGAGCCGGCTTTTCCGCACCTCCACAGAACGCCGACGGTACCAGCTGTCGGTGGGAATGGTGTTTAGGGCGGCCATCGGGCTTTTGGACAATTTCTCGAGGTCCACGGAGGGGTTTGGTGGCTTTCGAACCTCCTGTTATTCTCTGAGATTTTCGGGGGTGTCCTCGGCGATGCATGTCGCCAGTCTGGCATCGCAAAAAAATTGGGACCCACCAGATGATGTTCTTACCATGAACGAACAATCTATGCGCAGCAGCCTCCGATGCAGTAAAGCAGCCTCCTATCGCCATTCGGGCCGGAATCTGGACTGGACTCTGCGCTGGGGGGTCGAAAGCGCCAGCGCCTCATGCCAGCAAGAGGCAGCAGGAGGAAGAAGCGAAGATAAGCGAAACGCACATTGGAATCGCGCGCACTCCGCTTACGTACCGTGCCCATTAAGGCATTGCGCGAAAACCGTGGACGTGTACACATAACACGTTCGCGGATTCACGTGATAGCCGTAGTCCGGAACAAATCGTTGATGCCGATCTTGTTTGCGTTCTGACTTACTCTGAAGAATGGTTGGGTCTTTCCCGGAGAAAGGGAAAAGGAGGAGGAGGAAGAAGAGGAGGAGAGCGGGGCAAGGGGGAGGCGGAGTTGACCGGAGCAGATTCGCATGGAGTCCCTGTCTAGGCAGATAGCTGACTACCAAAAAGATCGACTGCTCTCTGAGGTGGTTCCTCCGGACCCACACGACTTTCAACGCGGGCCCCCCCACGGCTCACGGCCAGCACTGCGCTGGCCGACTGGCGCCCTAAGAGCGTGCAGCCCCCAGCGGGGGCCAGTGCGCCAGGCGCGGAGACCCGTTCCCGTCCCCCGCCCGTCAAAGCCGCTAACGTTGGCCTGGGGCCCCTGCAAAACCACTCGCAAGATCTCGGGCCCAGGGCTGCCCTGCTGTTCGCTAAATCTCCGCGGTAATATTTGGCGCGAAGAAGCGCCTGCGGCGCCGCGACCCCCTGCGCGGGGTCGGGCCAGGGGGGGGCACTCCAACGCCAACGCCAAAACATATTAAAACAAACGCATGCATTACTACGCAGATGTGCGCGAAGTGCCTGATCCGATTCGCGGGATTGAAGTTGCGCGCTTGTACCCTGCTGGTTCCATCGGGAACTGCGGTGGGCGTTGGGCATGTCCTTCGCCGCCGCGGCGCGCGCGGTGCCCTGCGCTCTGAGACGCCGCGACGCGGCCATCCTTCCCGTCGGCCGCATCCGCGGCCCTGCAAAGACAGCGGCGGCATGACAAGCGAAGAAGTCGAATGCCTTCCCGTTGCCGCCGCCGCGGGGGCAGCGGCGCTCGGGGGCCAGCCAAAAATAAACTTACGAAGCCCAGCCCCGTCGCTATAGGGGGCTTGGGCGATGCATTCGCTACTATGCAATCCCCCTTCCCTGACCAGATCCTCGCGCATGCTGCCCGCCTAGCGAGGATAAGTGCCCGCGCTGGTTCAGACTTTCACCGGCTATCCGATGCGTCCGAAAGGAGTTGTGGCTGTAGGGCGCACGCAACCTTTCGTCTGACAGCTCGCTGGACTCGGGGGGCCCCCTTCAGCTCGTCCTCAATCTCCTGAGGTCAACTAAAGCTGTCAAATATATTACATTCTCTGGTATCGGCCAGCCATGAAGGAGTCGCCGTCTTTCTTCGCACTGCCCCTGCCTGCGCCGCCGTCGCACGTGCCCATGCTAAATTGCCGCTGCGCAGCTGCTATGACGCCCCACCCTAACGCGTCGAATGTCTCATCGGGGGGGGGGGGGGCGAACTCCGCCGCGTAGGTGTTGGCCCCTCTTTCATCGAATAGTTATTGTACCGATGTTAAGGCATCTGCCTTGCCAACACCTTTTCCGCAACAAAAAAAAGCCATCGCGACCCGCTCGCATCTCAGCATCCTGTCGCAGCTGGGTCAACGTTATGTTGTGAATATGTCGACGCGCACTCGATCGCGAGATGGCTTTCTGGGCCGGGGCCACCAGGCGCCTGTAGACGAGCACCGCGCGCATGCAATGCGCCAGCATGCAAAGTCAACGACGACAAAGACTTCAAACTTATGAATAATGGATTCGTGATGTGCCGCCACCCTGTCATAAGAAATGTGCGCGCGTGTGTTCTGCGAACCTCTCGCGTCGGTTGTAATCGCGTCGTGAGGTTCAAGGACGTCGCGAAAATGTTCACCGACGCCCCTCTTGAGCCTGTCCCGGAAGGGTCATTGGACAACGCATGTATCGATCGATGCTGCGCCGTTTGCAAAATGCCGATGTCGCCGTTCGCACCGCAGAAAGAACCCTTGTAGATCTGCGCGGCAACGACGCCAAGATATCTCGAAGACAATCAACAATAATACGAAGGATGCGAAGGTCGCGTGGTCTCTGCTGCACTCGGCTCTCTGCGCTCGTCGAAGGTCGCGTGGCCATGTTACCCCGCCCTCTTTTGATGCGACCCCGAAACATCGGCCCCTGACTTCTCCAGGGGAAGGCCGCGTCTGCATAGTCGGTTCTTTTCGAAAACCCTCCCCAAGGGTCGCCGAATACCAAGCACTGGAATGCCCTAGCGGCGACGGCGGACTGAATGGAGGCCTCCAGAATGCACCGCCCCTGGACGAATCGACGAGAAACTGCGCTGCTACATGAAGGCTGCCCGCGAGCAACTGTTTGGGTTCCAGATGACAAGGTAAGATCAACAGTAGACGTCTCCACCAAAACCTCCTCGGGCCTCTCTCTCGTGCAGGATTGGGGATTCCACCCCTGTAGTCGAGGTTGCCGCTGTGTCATGCCCGCCCTCGGAGGGGCCTCCGCAGCTGGATCGTGCGCGACCCCTTTCACGATGTAATGTGTGCGTGCCTGGCTGCCCCTGAAATTAGTGGAGTCGATATAGAAGAGTTAGGTGCAGGAGGAGGCGGAGGAGCAGGATGAGGAGGAGAATCTACTAGCTGAGCCCCTGGTCGCCGCACAGGTCTTGGGGATCGCATTCGGGGGGCTCAGGGTAAGGGACCAAGTGTGCCCGACGGTGACGGACGAGAACTAGCAGCAAGGGAACCCGTGGGCCCGTCAGTGGCTCTCAGATGTTCTGGCGCTGGACACTTTCGAGCACGGTGAATTGTTTTTCCAGCCCAGTACGAGTTCCAACCGATGACGGCGATCACCGAGAGAAGGGGCGATTTCTTGAGGCTTGACTTGGCCATGTTTCGGGCCCATGTTCGGCGTCGCGCACAATATGAGCCCGGCAAGCGCGATCAGGACGAGGGAGGAATCTATCAATGTTGGGCGGGGGACGACGAAAGCAGCCCATGTCAGATTATACCCTCGGACAAAATCAAGCTCGCGTCGCACTTCGTGGTGGTACGCACGGACGGCAAGTATTATTCAGAGCGTGCTGTTTCAGCGACCAATATACGATTTGCGGAGCAGCGTTCGGTTCGAACGCGCAGGCGCAGAAGCACATGAGCGCTGCAGTCTCTCGAGGGATGTGTGCGTTGGTCGGTCCCGCTCGTCGGCGACCACACTTATGCAGACGACGCAGCGCAGATTGTGCCATTTTGCCGCCGGCGGGCCTCAAGTCTTGAGACAGCATGTTCTTGACTCTCACTTATCCGAGTATCTGGGACGGCGCGCTCTGGAGCTAGATGCCTTGGTTGATGGGGGCGCAGCAGAAGACCACAGGCCAGAGCGACTCAAAGAAGAGCAAGACGAAGGAGAGCGACGACGCGGTGCCCAAGAAGATGCTGGTCCAGCTAGAGGCGCGCATGAGGGCGCAAGAAACCTTCACCCAAACACAAGTGCACGTGCCCTCGGACCACCCGCTCGTGACGTGTGCCAGGCCCGGTACCAGTCCTACCTGGAGCTGGGTAAGAAAGAGGACCCGCAGCACCATCGCGCGGGCCGCCAGAGCTCCAGCCTTTTTTTGTTTCTAAAACTCTGACAGATATCTGGAGTTGGTTGAGCGGGGATGCTTTGCCAGATCAGAGCCTCAAGAAGTACATCGGCCTGCCGACGAGGGTGACGAGCATGCTCGGGCATGGCAGCAGCGAGGATGCGAGCGAGTGGGTCAAGGACTTTACGTTCTCACATATGTACGACACGAAGAAGGTGCGATTGACGATGAGCATTCGGGGACTAGTGCTGGTGCCGACGTCGTTAAAGTGTGCCGAAGCGTTCCACAAGTGCCAGGCCAAGGCGTGGGGCGAGGCAGCCACCGACGAGAGCCACGAGACAGTGATCCAGAGATCGCCGCTCGAGGTTCCAGCCATCGGGAAAGGGCCAACGCCGTCGAGCTCCAGCACGTGCTGAGCATGATACGCAGAGGCTGGAACGGCTCCAAGGATGTCGGGCGCGTCCCGAGGGGGCCCACGGCGAAGCAGTTGCTGGGCAAGAAGTAGGAGGGAGAGGCGACTCGAGGCCCGCGCGGGCCGCCAGCGGGCGGGGGGTCGGGCGTTCGCAAAGAGGTGCTTCAGCGTCGTGCCTCGATCCCCGCCGTGGGCCCTCCCGAGGGCCCGTGGCCGCCTTCTGGCGGCGTTCCGCTCTCGTGCGTTCGGCCCCTGGGGGGCCATCTTCGAAGCTGACCCCCCCCCCCTTGTGGGAAAGCTAAGCTCCGTGGCTAGGGCTGCCCAGCGCCGAACGCAGATCGAACTTCATGTGGCGCGAATGGAGTAGTAGTAGTCGTAGTCGTAGTAGTAGTAGTAGTAGTAGTAGTAGTAGTAGTAGTAGTAGTAGTAGTAGTAGTAGTAGTAGTAGAAGTAGTAGTAGTAGTAGTAGTAGTAGTAGTAGTAGTAGTAGTAGTAGTAGTAGTAGTAGTAGTAGTAGTAGTAGTAGTAGTAGTAGTAGTAGTAGTAGTAGTAGTAGTAGTAGTAGTAGTAGTGGTAGTAGTAGTAGTAGTAGTAGAAGAAGAAGAAGTAGTAGAGCGAGAGGCAAGGCGGACGAGTCGATCAGCTGCTTGCAGCTGTATTTTAAGTACGAGGGGCTGGGGAGGAGGGACACAGAAGACAACACACATAGAAATTTAAGAACACATCGGGACTGCATGTTTGACTTTGGCGCGTCTGCATTAAGCTGGATTTGGGGGACGATCGAACACGACTCTGGATGAATACATTGTTCCCAGGGAAGACTCGAGAGGTCTGTGGGCCCATGCCGCCAGGCGCCTAGGGAGGAGGGAATGATAACGAAGGGAGGATGGCTTTTGCTGGGTGCCTTCGCCGCTTTCGAGACCCGTGGGAGGAGGACGAGGAAAACCACCTCCTCACGTCACAACGTTTCGAACTTGACCAAGCTCCTCTGGCAGTGGCCAAACAGCCAAGATTTGGGGAACCCTGCCCATCCACGTTGTTACAGGGGCTCGGGATCTCATGCCTGCTAGCTCACCGATGCCTCACTTCGCGCATCGCGCCCACCGATGCGCGGCCATCTTCGCGCCCTCGCGACGCCCCCGGGAGAAGGGCGCGAAGCGCACTCACCCGCGCGTCCCTGGAGGTGACACCTGGCCCGGGGGGGTGCGGGCGAGCGCGATGATCTGTCTCTCAAGCTTCCCAGTGGATCTGTGACGGCAGCGGCCGGGGGCCTCGAGGGCCTTGTCCACCTGCTTCCCCTTCTCGCACGCGCTTATCAGGGCGCTGTAGGTGATCACGTTCGGGGCCAGCCCCTGGTCGCACGAGGAGGAAAGGGAGGAAGAGGAGGAGAAGGAGAAGGTGAAGAGGAGGATGGGGGGAGGATCAGGAGGACGAGGAGGATCAGGAGAGATGGAGGAGGATGAGGAGGAGAAGGAGGACGAGGAGGATCAAGAGGAGGACGAGGAGGATCAGGAGGACGAGGAGGATCAAGAGGAGGAGAAGGAGAAGGTGAAGAGGAGGATGAGGACGAGGAGCATCGGGGCGCGGAGGCACAGGGCCTCCCCCTCCTCCACTCTCCTCGTGCCGCCACTCCGCCCGCACCACCAGCCTGCCGGATGACACCGGGGAAGCTCAGACGAGCCCTGCGGGTCCCGCCTCCTCTACATGGCTCGGAGAGAGAGAGAGAGAGAGAGAGAGAGAGCAAAACACAGAGAGAGAGAGAGAGAGAGAGAGAGAGAGAGAGATCGGAGGAAGAACTGCGGTTTCGAGCACATGCGATTGTTGCCCGAGGGTCGAGACGACGAGCTGCAGGATGAGGGAGACAGGGAAAGAGCGAGAGAGAGAGAGAGAACGACAGACAGGCAGACATGCAGAGAGAGAGAGAGAGTGATGGACAGACAGAAAGAGAACGATATAGAGCAGGAGCAAGCGAGGATGTGATAAAAGAGAGGGGGAGAGAGAGAGAGAGAGAGAGAGACAGAGAACGACAGTGATAGCGAGGGCCCATGTTTACACACTTGAACGACAGTGATAGCGAGACAGAGACCGACATTGATAGCGACAGAGAACGACAGTGATAACGACTTGTGCGGCCGCTGGCGGGTCCGCCTGCTGACGCCGCGGGTACTCGCGTGCCCCAGTGGCCCGACGAAGACAGGGCGGGGGGGCAGCCTGCTCCTTCATCTCGTCCCACAGCGCCAGTGCGCGGTTCGTCAGCCTGCCTCGGGGCCAGGGCAGTCCTCGCCTCCTACCCCCTCGGGGGGCCGCGATGTGGGCACTCGTGCTGCTGTTGGTGCTGCTGCTTCTCCTCCTCCTGCTCGCTCCTCCCTCCCGGGCAAGTGGAGGGGGCGCAGGACGATGCGTGGGAGATCGGACGAGGAAGCTGGGCGAATAACGGATCGTGAGCAGCCTTGAGGTCTCCGAGGAATGTCGGGGGGACGGAGGAGGAGGAGGAGGAGGAGGAGGAGGAGGAGGAGGAGGAGGAGGAGGAGGAGGATGCGGAGAACGAGGAAGAGGAGAAGGGCGACGGGAACGGGGAGGAACCAGTGCCGTGGGGGCGAGGGGCAGGGCGAGGACGACAACGACGACGACCACGAGGATCTAGGGCGAGGACATCAAGGGGAGGAGGCGGAGGAGGGGGGCAGTGGGCCGGAGGAGAAGGAAGAGAGGGCGGCCTGCCTCTCTCATCGTCCTTGTCCACTTCCCCCCTGATCCTCCTGAGCCTCGTCCATGGGTTGGGGACGGGAAGCGAGGGGGAAGAAACGGATGAGGGGGGCAACGGGGATGATGAGGAGGGAAGAGAAAGAAGAGGGCGGCATTCCTCTCTCCTCGTCCTCGTCCTTCCTTCTTCTGATCCTCCTGGGCCTCGTCCCTTTCATCCTGCGCCCCTCGCTCCTCCCTCCTCGTCCTCGTCATCGTCCTTCTCCCCGCCGTTGCCGCGACCCCCCTCCTCTCCCTCCTCTTCCTCTTTCCATCGATACTGGGGGGACAGACAGATACAGCCGGGTTTGATTGGGGGAGGACACGCGAGAGGCCACAAGACCTTTCCGAGGGCTACACTGCCGCAGGAACGCAGAAGGCATGGACCGCGAAACACATAACACAAAAAACCCTTTGTTTGGCAACATCGACCTACTAATAAACCTCGGCTGCACTGATACCGCTACTCCCTGGACCTCTCCCAGTGCGTGCTCGTGCAAGGGTCTTGAGGCGAATCCAGCCGTAGCGAAGAGGACCTCCCAGGAGGCCCCAAGGGCGAAAACGAGACGAAGGCAGCTCCCCCCCTCCCCTCCCCGTGCGCACCCCCTCTCCTCCGAACTCCGCCGCGCCGCTCCGGGGCGCAGCCGCGGCCCCCGGCGCCGCCTTTCTCGCACGCGCTGATCAGGGCGCTGTAGGTGACCACGCTGGGCGTCACGCCCTCCCCCCTCATCCGCTCGAAGAGCACCAGCGCCTCCCCGGCGAGGAGAGACCCAGGCCTCCGACGCCGGGGCTGCTCGCCCCCCCTGCCGGCGCCTCCGCCTCGCAGCTCCGGCCTTCCCGGAGGGCCGTCCCTGCGCCCGTGGCCATCCCGAGCCTCCACTCCGCGCGGAGACTCGGGGGACCCGCGACGCAAACCCGGCCCTGGGGGACCAGGTCGAGGGCTCGCGGAGGCCTCCGAGGGCCCCGCGGAGATTCCCGCGGAGGTCCCTCGTCCGGGGCGGCCTCCGGAAGCTGAGGACATGCAGAAGGGACAGAAGGGGCAGCAGCTATGAGACCGAGATCTGTCGCTCCATTTCGACTGACGATCGCCGTTCTGTCTCTCACCAGGGGATCAAAACGTCGGCGTGCAGACTGGAGGGGCAGGCCAGGTAGGCGTTCATTTTCATTCTGGGTATCGATACCTGGCCGAATGGGGGGAGAGGGGGGCAGTCTGGGTCTGGCCCGGTGCTTCGCCGATCTGCTTCTGCCAGTCGCGCAGGCAGACAGGGGGGGGAGGGGGGCCCTCACCTGTCGCCAGAAGCAGCCGCCCAGAGCAGCCGAGAGATCTGGTCTCGGGGATGGACAGACCCCCCTTTAGTAAAACGTGGTTTAGTGAAAACGACCTCAGGCCCAAACTTGGCGGGCGCAAACCTGGAAAATGACGGCCGCGGCGCCCTCTCGAGAATCGAAAACGGACAACTCACTAATCGACGTGTCACTGTCGGGGATTCTGTCCACCCCCGAGCCGAGAGATCTGGTCCATCGGGGGGACAGGGGGCGGAGGGGGGGGCGGGGGCCCGCGCCTGTCAGCGAAAGGAGGTGGACAAAAACGCATCCCAGGGCGCGCAGGCGATGGCCCGCTTCGCAGCGGCCGTGCCCCCGTCCGCCCACTGCGCGGCGGCCCCTCCGGGTGGCGTTGGGCACGCACGCAGGGGGCACAGCAGCGAGGGGCGCGGCGCGAGGGGCGTGGCCTTCCGAGGGGCCCGCCCCCCTCGCGCCGACCCCTGCTGGGCGCCGCCAACGGGAAACCTTCTCCAGACAAAGTGCCTAAGAGCGGGGTCGAGCGGTCCATGGGCCAGGTGTTGAACAAACCACGACATCGGACGACTGGGTACGGCAACGTTCACGTCGCGATGTCGTCGGGCGTTGGTCGATGCCACACCGTAGATCGCTCTAACTGGACCGATCGCGGCTTTCCGACAGCGCGGATCGTTCAACATGGGCTGATGCTGGGTCACCGGCGGCGTTCAACCTTGAACGCCCGCGATGAAGTCGCCGCCGCGTTGACGCGGCACGAACCTACCGTGCGCCTACACATCACTAGGGTCCCCTAATGGTGTCTACTGTTGCGAACTGTAAAAAGAAAACCTCCATGCTACCCCGCCCGACGGCGCGATCCGGCCCTCCCGCGCTCACGGAACCCATCCCCTCAAACGATTCAATCCCCGCAAGCCCCGCGAAAGGACAACGGACTCCTACACCCCCAGGCGATTCACCCCACACGCTCATCAAACAACTCGGAATAAACGTTCTCATCTGCCGCGCTCACTCTGAAGGAGTGGGACGGCAGATGAGTGCTCAAACCCCTTGGACGTTCCAATTCCGAACGTTGCAGCGGCGGCAGGCAAGAACACAGGGCCGAACAGACTAAGGAAACGCCACCCTTAATGAAACACTGCCTTTCGTGCTACTGCGCTTGAAAGCACTAAAGGCCACTTCGAGTGAGATGGTCTTTCATTGAGGAGGTGATTTCCCCGGAGGCATTTGCAGCGAGGTGCACGACCGCGCGCAGGCCGCCAAACCTGACGTCGTACGTAACAAACCAAGGGCGCTGGGTGTATGAATATGAAGTGGCCATATTCCCTTCCCCCCCCCCCCATTTGCACTGCACGTCCGAAAGGAGTGAACTGCCTGGGACGACAAAGTTGGGTCGGCCTCCCTCCTGCCTAGGGGCCAAGGCAAGAGCATCCCTCCTGCCTATCCATCCTGCCAAGGGACGACAACGTTGGGCCAGCCTCCTTCCTGCCTAGGGGCAAAGGCAGGAGTACCACTGGCAGGCGTTGTGAGGCATCTGGTAGAATCCCCCCTTCGACCTTCGACCTCCCCCCCTTGCTCTCTCGTATGGCATTGCTTTGCACGGCAGCGACGAGGAGGATGTGAATGGATTCGGGGCGGTGGAGGGTGTGGGGAAGCTGGAAGCTGGCGTGCCTCATTCCAATGTTGCGGCTTGCAGCTTGCAGCTTGTAGCTGGCGCGCTGCCGATTGTTCCGTATCCTCTACGTTCTGCCCACGGCGATGTGGAATCGTAGCTCGCGATGCGAGGTGGCAGCAAGGAGCGGCGCCCAACGGCGGCCAGGGGGAAGGGGAGGGGGCGAGCCAGGCCTTTCGGAGTCGGCCCCCGGTGCCAATCCTCGGGTGCGCGCTGTCCAGAACTTCGAGGCCGATCCAGCCGTGGCCTCGAGAGCGCCCCCGCGGGCCCAGCCCTTGGCCCGGCGACGGGCCCGACCTGCAGCCGCCGGGTGCTCTCTCCTCATCTGCTGCGCGCCGCGGTGCGGTCTGCATGCCAACTCCTGGCCCCGGGGCGGTCCCCTCAGGGGAAGACGCGATCATGCTTCGGAAGGGAAATAAGGCGCATGGGAACCGGTTGGAATAACCCACCGCGGGCGATAATACCCCCCCGGAGATAATAAAGTTCGGGGTTCTGGCGGGGAAAATATTTTTCCAGGGAAGGTAAGTTATGATGATGATGACGGTGGCGATGATGATGATGATGATGATGATGATGATGATGCTGATGATGCTGATGATGATGATGGCTACTTGCCAGCAGGCGCACGGCACAATGCTGACTCGAGAGATCTCGAGGCTTGTGGCTAAGCAGGCGCCACACGTTCCTGACTCGGGAACGGCTAAGAAAATGATAATCCCATGGCCCTGCCGCACGTTCGTGACGTGGGCAAACTGAACTGGTGAGAATCCCACAGCCCTGCCACACGCTCGTGATTTGGGAAGCTGGTGTGATGAGACCACCATGGCCATGCTCAACGTTTTTGATGCTATTGCTAGTCAACATGACATGAGAGCAACTTCGATTCGCAACTTTCCCGTGGATTATAAAGTTCGGCCTCCGCGCGCCTCTCCACAATTTAATCATGTTGAACGGAGATAAGAAAAAATAGGAGGGGGAAAAGGGGGGGTACTTTATTATCGCCCGCGTTCGGTTAATCAGCATGGGGGCAACGTGTCCTGAGGGGAACGGGTCCTGGACCCTGGGGCCTTTCCCCAGGACGAGTTCTTCATCCCGAATCGTTACCTGACAGTCCTGGGGCCCGTGGAGGGCCCCGGGAGCCCGAACACGGAAGAGAACCTCAGGACCCGTTTCCCTCAGGACCCGTCTCCATCAGGACCCGCTTCCCCCTTGGCGACATGAACATGTCAATGCACCACCTGGGCAGAGACTCGCCCCGTCTCAGGGCAAGCCTGCCACTTGGCCTCCGGGGCTGCGGAGCAGGCGCGCACTGGGCGCGCCGAGCTTCCCGCGAGGCATGGCCCGCGTGAAGAGTGTGCCGAGATGGGCGGGGCAACGCTGTGCGGGCGCTCTCGCAGGTGCCGAGAGTGGGGCTCCCTGAGGGGGGCACGGTCCGCGCGAGGGGGGTGCCGAAGAGGGCGGGGTGACGGAATGGCGAGGTCCCTCGCTCTGCCGGCATGGGCGCGGCAGGTCGATGCGCAAGGCGGCTTTCAAGAAAGAGTGGATGGAGGGGGGGGGGGGTCGGCAAGAGGCGAGAAGGAGGCTGGTGACTGGCGCACCGGGAAGGAAACGAGGACCCGACAGCACAATATGGTCGGAACATTGCAAGAAGCCTAAGAACTAGACCCTCTGACCTCGAGGTCTGGAGAAGGAGGGAGGAGAAAGAGGGACCTCTCGGGCCAACGCAACCCGTGTGGGAGCGGCCTGTTCCGCACGCTTGCCCTTCTCGCAAGCGCTGATGAGCGCGTTGTACGTGATGACGTCTGGCCTGAGGCCTTTTCGGGGCGGCGTCTCGGCGTCATCGCTCTCCTCCTCATCCTGCTCCTGCTCCTGCTCCTGCTCTTCCTCCTCCTCTTCATCCTGCTCCTCTCCGTCCTACACGAGGTCAGGATATTCAGCAGTATGTTTGGATGGGTTTGACTCCTTTCGTTCCTCTTGAAGCCTCCCGAGAGCTCCAACGACGATGATCTTCCTCCTCCCCCTTTTTCTCTTCCACCTACTCCTGTTTCTTCTCCCTTTGTCCATCGTCCTGCTCATTCCTCCTGCTCCTCCTCTTCCTCCTCTTCGCTACATCCTTCAATTCATCTTCTTCGTCCACACACCTCCTCGCGGAGAATAGAGACGAGGGGCATCGGGTGAGGAGGATGAAGAGATGAAATGAGGAGGGGGAAGGAGAGGAGTGAGGGGATTGGAAGTCCCTTCGAGGATGAATGGGGGGAGAGGGAGGATGACGATTAGTTGGGATTCGGACGAAGATGGGTCACGCAAGCAAGATTCAACGAGCCAAAGGTCCCCGCACCCTCCCTGTGTCCCAGGGGCGCGCGAGAGGATCGGAAGGTGAGAAAGAGAGAGAGAAAGCGAGAGAGAGAGTTATACATTAGGAAAAACAAGAGGATATACATACATAGAGAGATAAAACTGCTGGAAGTGAAAGAGAGAGAGAGAGAGAGAGATGGAGATTGAGAGAGGGAGAAAGAGAGAGACAGAGAGAACGTGTGACAAAGATGCCGTCTATACACGTGCAGCGACCGTCTGCGGAAAAGCGTCGTGAGCAGAGGATGTGCGCACGACAGCGCCAGCGCAGTGCACCGCCGTGCGTGCGCGCGGCAGGCGAGCGCTCCTGGGAAGCTGCGCCAGACACACGCGAGCCCCCGCTGGGCGCCCAGGGGCCCCGTGCAGCGCCCCAGGCCACGCCAGCGGCGTGACGGGGCGCAGCTGCCTTGGGGCTACAGCGCCAGGCCCCTGAATAGTTTCAGAATCGCCAAAACAGAGTATGCTCGGGAGGCGCCACCTGCGTGTATCGTTTCATGCACGGGGGGGGGGGCATCTCAGCACCGTGGCCTCGACCCGTTGTTTTTTCAGATCGGGCCTGCAAATCATCTGCCAGAGCGCTTCCTCCTGTGTCTTTGACTTGGGAAGCTTGTTCAGGTCGATTTGAACATCTTCATTTGCAAGCGAAGTTGTCATCGGACACCGCTACCAAGGTATGGAAGTCCAAAAGAAACTCCATTGTCGTCGCCACGGAAGTGACTAAGCCGACCGCGACACACGTTCGTAAACGCGACGCGTATATGATCCAGGGTCGAGGGCCCACAGGCCCGCCCCCCCCCAGATGGTATGGTGCCAGGATTCCTCGGCCCCCCCCCCCCCAGATGGTATGGTCCCAGAGACGACGACGACGACGACGACGACGACGACGACGACGACGACGACGACGACGACGGCGACTACGACGACAGCGACGACGACGACGACGACGACCACGACGACGTCGACGGCTGCGGCGGCGAAGACGCCGGCGGCGGCAGCGACGACGACGATGACGACGATGACGACGGCGACGACGACGATGACGACGACGACGACGACGAGGACGACGAGGACGACGAGGACGACGACGACGATGACGACGACCTCTGAACCACCACAGCACCACACCACATCCACAGGGGGGGGGGCACCGCAGCGCAGCACCACGCCACGCCCACCTCTGAACCACCACAGCACCACACCACATCCACAGGGGGGAGGGGGGCACCGCAGCGCAGCACCACGCCACGCCCACAGGGGGGGGCGGGGGGGACCATCTCGCGGGAGGGGGGGGGGGCCCAATGGCATCAGCATTGGACGGGGGGGGGGGGGGCCCAAGCCCTGGACCATATATAGTCAACGACCACCCTTCGGGTGATAAGGACGTTGGGGGACAAGGAAAAGAACCAACATGTGGCAATCTTTGTGGTTGCGATGAGGACTATGCCGGTGATGCGACCTCGAGTTGGCCTCGATCGATCTCCCAACAGATCGCGCTATCGATCTCCCAATCGATCTCACCGTCGATCTGACAATCGAACTCACCACCGATCTCACATTCGAACGCACTATCGATCTCACAGCAATTCTCACTATCAGTCTCACATTCGACATCCTACTCGGTCTCTCTCATGATCGATCTCACCGTCGATCCCACTATAAATCTCTATTACCACCGACCTCACAACGAATCTTACCATCGATCTAACAAACGATCTCGCTATCGATCTCCCAAACGATCTCACTATCGATCTCGCCGCCTTGCTCCGGGACACTGACTGGCGCCGCCTTACTCCGGGACACGGAACACAGACGGGACATCCACGGGACACCGACGGGACTCCGACAGGACGCCGACGTGCCACCGACGGGACACCCCCGACCACCACGCGCCGGGGGGCGGGGAGGGGCGGGCAACCGGCTCCACAGCCCCTGGCCTGGCCACGCCGGCGACATCGACGGGACACCGACGCGCCACCCCCAGCCACCGCGCGGGGGGGGGGGGGAGGAACGGACAACCGGCTCCTAGCCACGGCGGCATCATTCCTCTCGCGCGCCCACGCAGCTTCCCCTCGCCTGCACGCACGACACGAACACGAAACCGAAGCCGATGTCCCAGTGGGGGGTTCTCCGTTCCACTGCGAGCTCAGCCCCCAACCTCCGATACACAGAGAGAGGGCGAGAGAGATAGAGAGGGAGAGCGATAGGTTATGTACCTGAGAGCATCTGTAGTTGTACACATACATAGATGCATACCCAGGGATAGATAGGCAGAGAGGGAAACATAGATAATTAGAGACGTAGAGAGATAACACACACATATATATATATAGAGAGAGAGAAATAGAGAGAGAGAACGAGAGAGAAATAGTGAGATAAACATATATTCGGTATGTATATATATATATATACTCATGTACATGCTGAAACAAAAGGATGTACACACATGCATATATATACACATATATGTATACATACACATATGTAACAAGACGGTGAAGGGAGAAACCGAGAGAGAGAGAGAGAGAGAGAGAGAGAGAGACACACACATTACACGGGATGAGCAGAAAGAGAAAGAGAGAGAGTCAGAGAGAGAGAGAGGAGAGAGAGGCAGAGAGAGAGGTGTATGTATGTATATTTGCATAGGTATTCAGAACACAAAACTAAGCAGGGACAGGGAGAGACACGGAGGAAAGTATAAATGAGGAGATCATGAAAGAGGTGTTGAACGACGAGGGAGGACAGACCAGAAGGAGGGAGGGTTGTAATCCAGCGCTGGTGCCCTTTAGAGAAGGCATCACCTTGTCGATGTTGGGTAGGGCTCATCTTGCCATCGCTCGGACGTCCATTCCCCGGTCATTGTTCGGCTTCAAGCGTTAATTTCTCCTACGCAGGATGATCCACAATTATCCTCGATGGTGCTCGCAGAGAAAAAGTGCACACGTCCGAGCGATACAAAGTCATGGGCTGTCTCATCCTTGTAGGTCGCTCCCGGTGAAGGTTGGGCAGGCCCACACTCTGATGATGAGTCTGGCACACGGACATCACTTCGCGCGTCGGGGTGGTGACACTTTGAACACCTTGTGACAACCACCCCTGCAAATGACATACGTACGGATGTGTGGTACATGTGCGTGACCTTTGGCACTGCCGCTGGGCTGTCCTTCAGGTCCATGCCTCGCGGGAAAACCTCGTGCCGCCTTTACGTTTCATGTCGCATCAACGTGGGTACCAATTGGAGACCAACAACTGCCGTGCGGTAGCAACGACACATGATTGCAGTAGCGCTGAAGTAGCCGCCAGGATGTGATCTGAAGGTCCGTGCGTCGTGAGGAAACCTGGAGCCGCTTCGATGTTGCATCTCGGACCAGCGTGGACATGCTGACCACCAAATGGGTGACAACAAAACTTGTAGACGTACGAATGCAAAATAACTGCGGGGCCGCTGGCATTTCCAACAGGCTGCGTCCTGGCAGTCACCTCAAGAGAAAACCTCGTATCGCCTCCAAATTGGATTTCGGATCAACGAGGACGTGCAAGCGCAATCAACTGGAGTGAATACAGCTGATTGAAATACCAATGCCGAACAACTGGAAGCTGCCAGCATTCACCCGCTGGGCTGTGTTCCAGAGGTCTGTACCCCGTGATAAAGCTGGTGATGAAGCTGGGTGTGTGCAGGTGATGAAGCTGCAGGGAGACAGCCCACCCAGCGCCGTCTTCGCCCCGACCCGAACTGGAGGCCTCCAAAATAGGGTCCGAGTAGAATCGGTCGGAAGATTGCACCGTATCGCCGATGTCGGAAGTTGGGGAGTGAGATCGCAGTGAAACGGAGACCCCCCACCAGGAAAACGGTTTCGGTTTCGTGTTCGTGTCGTGCGTGCGGGCGAGGCGACGCTGCGCGTGATCCTCCTGTAGCTAGGCCGAAGTAGGAGAACAAAAATCCGCTCCCGTCCGCCAGTGGCTGGGAGGTGTCCCAATTGGGCCGGGCGGTGTCCCGGGTGTCTCGGGTGTCCGTAGGAGCGAAAGTCCGTTTCCCGTTCGCCGGTGGCCGGGAGGTGTCCCAATTGGGCCGGGCAGTGTCCCAGGTGTCCCGCCAGTGTCCCGGTGTCCCGCTGGTGTGAAAACGATAGTGACACCGATGACGAAATCGATTGTGCGATCGATGGTGAGATCGATACTGAAACCGATCGTGGGATCGATCGTGAAATCGATAGTGAGATCGATCGTGAGATGAACAGTGATATCGATTGTGAGCTCGAGTGACATCGACTGGGAGATCGATCGTGGGATCGATAGCGAGATCCAGAGAGAAATCGAGTGAAATCGATCGAATAAAATCGATACTGAGATCGGTCGAGTGAAACCGATAGTGGGATCGATGGTCCCAAGAGCGAGCGGCAACGCAACAATCACCACTGCTGCCCATTGCTAGCCCGCCTCCCCCCCAAACCTCCTTATCACCCGCAGGGTGGTCGTGCAGGTATTTCCGACGCGTCGGCGCCATCGGCGTAGAAAAATCGTGCTCGACATCAAGCCGCATCGGCGATGCATCGGCGATGCAGCGCCATCCTCCGACCCTTTCTGCTATGGTCCCATCTGCGAGGCCTAGACCAGCTCCTTTGCCCTCGTGGTTGGGGCGCTCTCCGGACCCTTGCACGCGTCCATTTGAAGGCTGCCCCTTGCGCCCCCCACCACATCGACAACGCAGGGGAGGCCGTGGGCGCCATTGGCACGGGGCTGGAAGAAAGCAGGACAAGAGGGAACGGACGAGGAGGAAGAGGAGAAGAGGGAGGGGGAGGAGGAGGATGAGGAGGAGGAGGATTTTTTGACCTCGACGCTATCACCTCTGACCACTCCGGCGAACACGAACTCCAGAAAGACCAGGCCGAACGGCACGACGAGCGGGTACGGCATCACGACAGCGAGGGGCCTGCCGTGACCATTCTCTGCAGTGACTGCTAAAATCCGAAGCCGTCCAGGTCGAACTCGTCGAGCGAATCTGTGCTGGAGTCGTCGGACCACGCCACCGCGAACCGAAAGAACAACGCTCCAGCATCCGCCACTCCTGTTTTGGGCTGGCTCCCACTTGCATATTCACTGCAGCCGAACAAGCGGCCTTCACCAGGATCGACGGGGAGTCCCCGCGGGATTCACGACGGGGCGGCGAGAGAGGGCAAGGGGTCCTCCCTCTGCGGCACCGAGCTGCTCGCCTGCACGTGCTCTTCCCCTCCCCCAGAGCCTTCATCCGCAGGGGGGAGGGCCCGCACGGCTGGTAGCGGGGCAGCCTCCTCCTTCTCGAAGTCCGCTTGGGCCTCCGTCTCATCCTCGGGCTCCGCGTCCGCGCGGAGGCGGCGGCGGACGAAAGGCTGCAGGCGAGCGACCGAGTGGCACCGCCCTGGCGGCACCATCCTTGGCCACCGCACCGTGCTCCTCGATCGAGGCCGCCAGCCGCGCCAAGCGCTGGACGAACGGCTGGGCGACACGACCAGGGCGCTCCCGCGCCCACAGTTGTCGCTGCTCCTCGATCTCCATACTGGACTTGCTCGTCGGCGAGAGCACCACATAATCCACGCCGGCGATGTGTGGTTCCAGCTTAGCTTCCCGCATCTCGCTCTCCACGCACGTGCTGATCCCGACGTTGTGGCTGATGACGTTGGGGGTCTAGCACCGCCTCCCACTTCTCGCATGGCGGCGGCACGGCCGCGCGGCAGGACGAAAAGACAGTAGCGCCGCACGTGCACCTGGCGCCTGCAGCGTCCAGCCTCGCCCAGCTGCCCGCACCAGGAACGAAGGCAGGAGCTTCAGAGCGAAATTGACAACCTCCACGGCCGTCAAACCCAGGAACAGCATGAGCGGCCAAAACATCAGCTCCAGGGTTCCCGAAGCTCGGCTCCACGCCAGTTGGGACTTGCTCAGGAGGCTCCAGTTGCCGATCTGCGAGCGCGCGAGAAGGTGCCAGGCGCGCGGACTTCTGGAGGCTCCTCAGCTCCTGGCAGCGGGCCTCGGGGCCTGGCTCCTGCGCCGAATGCTCGGCGACGCTGCGGAGAAGGATGTCGGCGTCGGTCAGAGGAGCCTCCAGTACTCCATCTCGGGCTTGCAGCTGTGCCCGAAGGACTGGTTCGATGCTCCTCCACCGTCGGCGAAGCTCGTCTCCTCGCGGGTCACCAGACTCCCCGCCGAATAGCACCCTGCACAACCTGTCGTTCTCGCGAACTTGCATCGCGAGCCGCTCCTCGAGGTCACGGAGCTTGTGATGGGCCGCCGCCAGCCCAGCGTCTGCCGCCGCCAGCGCCCGCTGCCTGGCCGCCGTACGGGCGGCACGTGACCTCCGATACCACCCAGAATCACCGTCAGGCGACTCCGCCCGCACCATCTCAAACTCTCGAGTCCCCTGCAGCGCCACACTCCGGGCCGGCCATGCGCGGGGGACAATGGCGACCAGGGGGCTTGAGGCTGGCTTGAGCCAAAATGGCTTGAGCCAAAATGGCTACGGAAAAAGGAGGGGGAGATCAGAGGATGCGGGAGAGAAGGCGGAAGGATGAGGGAGGAGGAGGAGGGATATAAAACTATGCGACGGCTCTAGCAAGCCAACGTTTGTACAACGTAAAGAAGAGGGATATACTCCCCCTGGATCCTCGTCGGAAAGGGGGGCGCCAAACCGAGGCATAGGCAAGGGGCCTTCCAGCTGCATGCGCTGGAACAAGGAGAACGCCTGAGGAGTCTTTCTGCACTGCCGCGGCCGCCGGGCGCTTTCTGACGGACGTAGACGCAGGAGGAGGACAATACAGATGCAGGGGCGAGCGATGGGATCTGCACATACGTGGGTTAAGGTATGCAAGCCGTCGCCCGAAGCATCGTGTGCGCATTTTGCTGAACGTCACACGCTCGTGATCCCATCCCGAAGAGTGTCAACTATGCTGTGCGCGGTCCCAGAACATACGTAGGCGGAGCAAGGGGGGGTATCAGATTGAGGAGCAAGTGGTGCTTGAATGAGGCGGAGCAGGGGGAGAGCGCCGCAAGACCAGACTGCGGAATGTTCCGAAATGGCGGGAGCCACTGCCCCGGCTGGTCGGCCCGCCAGAGCAGGAGGAGCCTGCGGAAGCCAAACATCAGCAAGGAGGCTGCAAGCTGCAAGACAGCAGCAAAATATGGGCGGGCCGACAACAGCATCGAGATATCATTCCGCTCAAAGCGGGGAGCTCCGTCCGATCGGAACGAACGTCAACGTCGGGTGAAGACACATGGGAGATCTCGTGCCTTACGTCCACCGAGGGCCCCCCCGCGGAATCTCCCCTCCCTCTCCTCCCTTCCTCCATCCACTCTGACGCGTGGGAGTACCTTGGCGTGCGCAAAGTGGTGCCACTTCCGGGCGGGCCCGAAAGCGGGGCCGCTTTCCTCCACGAACGCGCTGCCTTGCCCGAGCTTCCCACAACAGCGGGCTGGAGGCAGCGGATGGAGATAGTGAAGGGAAACCTGCACAGACATAAACCTTCGGAGCTCCGCGCGGGTTTCTTGGATGAGAGCTGGGACTCCCCTCCCTAGCACGCGGAACGCGTCATGGGCGGCGCAGGAGGCGCCACCAGGGGACCCAGCGCAGATCTACGAGATCCGTGCGGAGCTCCGACAGTGGATGCTTATATTGTTTGTTTCTCTTTCGAAATAAGGGGAAGTGGCAGGAAATGGTGGAGGCGAGGAGAGGGGACTGAGCGACGGAGGAGGAGAAATGAGCCGCTCTCCTGTGCTGTCTGCTTCCCCTTCTCGCAGGCGCTGATGAGGGTGTTGTAGGTGATCACGTTCGGCGAGAGGCCCTAGGCCGCGCCCTCACGACCCCCAAACCACCCTGTGGAGAACGAGGACGAAAATAAGGAGGTAGGGGTAGGGAGAAGGTAGAGAGGTCCCAAGAGGCCCCCCAAGAGGCCCTTAAAGGCCCCAAAGAGTCCCCCAGGAAGACCCAAGAGGCCCTCAGGAGGCTACCAAGATACCCTCAAGAGGCTCTGGAATACCCAAGCCCCACTACCTCCTCGTCCACCTGTTACACATCCCTGTCCTCCTCGCGCACTGGCCGTAAGGCCATCGTAAAAGGGAGGTAGCAGAAGATGAGGAGGGAGAAGGTCGTTGCACATGAGCAAGAGGAGCAGGAGGGATGAGGATGAGTGGCAATCGTACCCCTACTGGGTCGGCGGCACCGGCCGTAAGGCCTTCGCAAACAGGAACTAGCAGAGGAGGAGGAGGAGGAGGAGGAGGAGGAGGAGGAGGAGGAGGAGGAGGGGGACGGTAGTTGCACAGGAGCAGGAAGAGCAGGAGGGAGGAGGATGAGGGGCAAGAAAGCGAGGACCTCATGACGATCCCCCTGCCCCCTGCCCCTCCTCCCTCAACCCCCCTTGGGCGCCCACCCGCATTCCCCTGGGCCCCCCTCTTGTCCCCTACCGTCCCATCGCTCCGCTCCTCCATCTCAATCACGTCCCCCGCGTCCCCCTCCTCCTCCTCCTCCTCCTCCTCCTCATCCTCCTCCTCCTCCGCCTCCTCCCCCCTCCCTTCCCACCCGCTCCATTTTCATGTCAACTGCCAGAACCATTGCGATGGTTGGCAAGCGGGCGCGGTGCTGGAACTTGCTGAAAGCAGCTGGGCAGTCAAGACGAGCGAGCCAGCGCAATGGGCACGGTACAGTCTGCTGCACCGAGACCAATCTACATGAGAGAACAAGGTTGACTCTCGCACTGGATCTCAGTGATTGGACAACGAGTGGAGACCATGACATCGGAAAGTGACCTTCACAAGGAGGCGGCGGGGGAGAAAGGAGGGGGGGATTGGAGCGAACAGAGGCCTGCAGTAGTTGGCGTACCACATAGGAACACGCCATGATGACAACGGAACGAGGTGGAACGAGAAAGGATCTTCTGTGGATGTCGTGAGGATATCACGAAGTCGTGAAAAACATAACGTCGGATTCTCTCACCTTGTGTGCGTTTTTCCGACCTGGATCGGTCCGCGGGGCTGTGTACAGTGACCCGAAGCGGGGAGAAAACAAACGGGAGATTTTTGTCCACGACGGCAAGATGTCAAGGCCTGCCACACCCTTGGCCTGGGACATCTCCAAGGGCGCGTCCTGACCATGATCTCGAAACGGGTCCAGCCGTGGAGATGGAGTCCCCCGCAAGAGATACCCGGGGACGTACCCGCCCCACCCAAGACGCATGGCAAGGCCGTCTGGTGCGTACGTGCGCGGGTGTTCTCATTCCGCTGGGCTGCTGCGCGGTTGGCTGCGCCGAGGGAGGCGAAACCTTGCATCTGCGAACATCGCCACTCCGTTTGGCCTCCCGCGGGCTCACGGAGGTGGCCACCGCTGCGCAGCTGGCATCGCCCAGTGAGGAGAGGTGTCCGGTGATCTGCGTCAGACACCGCCCCGCTGGACCTCCCCGAACACGCACGAAAGCGGCGACAGCTGCGCAGTTTCTCCGCTGGACCTCCGAAGGGCTCACGAAAGCGGCGAAGGTTGAGTACTTGGCAGCGGCCCAAGATGCGACATTTTTTCTTGATCAGCGAAATACACCGCTCCGCTGGACCACTCATGGACCCACGAACGTGGCAACAGTTGAGCAGTTAGTAGCGCCCAGGGAGGCGAGGTCTTGTTGATTTGGGTAGCTCGCCACTCCGCTGGACCTATCAGGAGCGCAGCACTGTGGCGACGGTTGAGCGCCTGGCAACACTCAGGGAGAACGATATGAAGAGGCGAGGGGGGCGGAAGAGGAGAGGAGGGAGGAGGAGAGGAAGGGGCAGGAGAGGAGGAGCAACAAATGATCTGACCCAAAATAAATAGCAACACGTGATGGGTTGGAAACAACTGAGAAACTTTCAACACTTCCCTCCTCTGCTTGTCCTCAGAGTCTTCTCCTTTGCAAACGTTCGACGTCCCAATCGTTGGTGAGGTACGGCCCCCGGGGGGCCTCTCGTCTCTAAACCGGGACTGGCATGTAATCCTGAATTGTTTCCTGACCTCCCCGGGCCCCGGATCTCCAACGGCCGAGATGCCAGACAAAACAGGCCGTTGCGATCTTTTGCGTGACGTATCGCTGCCACAGAGAAGGAAACAAAAACAAGGACTAGCGTGATGGCCTCCATTCCCCCTGGGGCCGACCGGCCTGCTTCTGCATCTGCTCGAATAGCTGCCAAGCCCTGGTCGACTGCCGGCCCTTCTCGCATGCCGAGATCGCCGTGTTGTACCTCCCCTCCCCCACGATCGCTTCTCTTCGATCGAATATCGGGTCGGGCGAAAGGGGGGGATAGCAAAGGGGGGGTTTGAGAATCAGCTCACGTAGCTGATTTTCCCGGCGCCTCCCGGCGCCCGAGGCGGCTATGTATCGAGGAATGGGCCCCTTGGCGAGGCCGAAACCAGCTGCATGCAGCAAATTTCGTAACCCCCCCTTTCCCAATCCCCCCCTTTCGCCCGACCCGAGAATAATACCTGGTGCCACTGGCCACTCACTGCTGGCCCCGCCTCGGGCGGACAAGTCCTGCCCCCCAAGAACAAGCATGCCTCCCTTCCCTTCGCCCACCAGGAAGAGGGCCGATGTTTATACGGTAGGTTCGCGCGGCGTCGGCGTGCGGAAAAGTTTTGGACATCGCGTCAATCGTTGAACCTTGAATCGATCGCGGCAACGATCGTTCAAAATTGAATCCCGTCGAATCCAATGACATCACCGTGTCCCTTGGTGCTTCCGCGTCGCAGAATTCAACCTGGAACGCATTCGCTGGCGTCGCTGGCGCACCAACGCCGCACGAACCTACGGTAGAAGAGGGCAACAAGAAGGTTTAAACAAATCTTCGACTAATCTGGCCCTCCCAACTGTTGAGTGTCCGTGTCTGCCACGGCTCCTGACTGAATCTGAATTAATCCATACCCAACTGCCCGATATCCGCTGCTCGTTGCAATTATGTTTGTATCCTCGTCGTGGGCAAGTGACCTCTGGCATATTGACAGGGTCTCCACAATTCTATGACAAATCTACTCGCAAAACTCTCTGAATCATACCACATCCACCATAAACGGCCCGATTCCCGTGTTTAGTCGCAGTGATGTTCTTTGTCCTCAACGTGACGCTCACTGGCAAATGACTTCCTCACGTGTCACACTGGCAAAGCATTCATCACTCCGTGCAAGGCCTAGCCGCAGGGCTCTGCGAGCCCTGTCGAACCGAAGGCGCGTACGAAAGCAACGCGGAAAACTGATGTCGCATCGAGGCCTACCACACTACGCACGGATGCTCTGATGCAATTCCCTCCCCCACGTCTGTGAAGGAAGAACTGTGGATTACCAAAGATGGCAATCATGTGTTCGCAGCTGCCGGACACCAAACGAGTTCACGAGGAGTTGCACTTTTGATTCATAACCACCACGCTCACTACATCACGCGTTTTACGCCAATCAACGAGAGGATTGCTTACATCGATTTAGACTTACCCGAAAAGCCTCGGCGAATTGTAACTCCGTACTTCCCACATGGAGAATGCAGCGACAATCACGTACAGCACCTTTACGACATACTCAGTATTTACATTGCACAAAGACGCAGCGCAACAGGGAATGCTGACAGTACTGACTGGCGACTTCAATGCGCAGGTTGGGATTCAGGAGAAACATGACGACGATACATGTGACGATGGTGCTCGCGACAGATCTCGCAGTATATTTGAGAAGTTCGGGATGGGCAAATGCAACACCAGGGGGGTTTGGTTACGAGCTTGGGCAATCAAGGAGAAGCTGGTGATCGCGAACACTCAGTTTTACAAGCGACCACATCACGTTTTTACATATAGTAACAACGATTCGGACAAGATGCGCTCACAGATCGACTACATCCTGATCGACCGGGCGTGCCGCAACATTGTCTTAGACGGTCATGCGTCCGCGTGCCCGGACCTGGGATCCGACCACCAAGCTGTTTATGTACGACTCGATTTGTCTACCATTGCGAGAAGGCGACGACGAAGACGTAAGAAAGCACGACCAGCAACAGCCGGGCGACCACCAACAAACGACCCAGCTTTCCAGCAACATCTCGAAGAGGTATTGCAGACGCACTCACACGCGTCGACAATCAGCGAAAAGTGCACAGACACGGAACGAGCACTGAAGACTGCAACAAAAGCTTACGAGACCCAAGCCGCCCACCCCAACGACTCCCAACGAGCGACCGACCAAGAGCAAACCAAACAGCTACGCGACCTCATCGCACAACGGAGCAAAACACCACACGAGGACACTGCGACCCGCAAAACTATCAGCAAGAAGATCTTCAAATAATTGCGGTCTCTAAACCGGGCTCGACGGCAAGACAAAATCAGGGACATCATCGTCAATTTCACAGGCCTTAGGAAGACAGCGGGGATCAAAACAACGAAGCACAAAGACATGATAGCATCAAACAGGGCAAGACGGCAACGACGAGACCGACCGACAAAACATTGCTGATATGTGTTCAACGTTCTACGCACAACTTTACCGACAAACCGACTCCAACAACGGACGTTCGACGCACGGCTGCCGCCCCCCTGTCCCTTGCCGCGAAGACCTGGAGGCCGAAGTGAGGCCGAACCAAATACCACCTTTTACTCAGGAAGAAACACACCAAACAATCAAAGAGCTCAAAAACGGAAAATGCAAAGACACAGCGGGAATCACTGCAGAAATATTGAAAGCATGCGGGCCGTGCATAGAACAGCACCTACAATGCTTGTTCAACAACATCATTCACCCAGAACAGTTACCGCCAGAACAGTGGAGGCGCACCACCATCATTGTGATTTTCAGATCAGGAGACGCAGAACTACAACAAAACTACAGACCAATTGCAAATATCCCTATCCTGTACAAGCTTATGTCTCGACTCCTGTAAAATCGACTGGGTCCACTGTTAGACAAGCAACAACACGTAGACCAAGCAGGCTTCAGACACGGCTACAGCACCGACGACCACTTATTCACGACGGCCCTCCTGCACAACCAGTCAGAAGAATGGCAACCTACCACTCTGGGTAGCAGCGGTTGACTTTAAGAAAACATTCGACTGTGTCAACCACAACGCACTATGGGACTCACTCAGAGAGCAGCAGGTGCCGACATCCTACATACACTTCCTCAAACAGTTCTACACCGACCAGACCGCTACAGTACGGACGGACAGCACGAGCAGACAGTTCAACATCCAGCGAGGTGTGAAACAGGGAGACCAACTGCTCTCCCTACTTTTCAACGCACTACTTGAAAGCATTTTCCGACGCATGGAGGACACATGGCGCAACAAACGGTTGGCATACAGATGGGTTTCACCAAAAACACCCTCCTCACCAACCTCCGTTTTGCAGACGATGTTTTTATTGTGTGCGCCACATTTGCGTCAGCTGAAATGTATACTGCTCGACCTCAAGCTCCACTCGACACAATGCGGCCTTGAGTTACACTCAGGCAGGACGAAAATACTGACCAACGTCGACCTGCGACAAGGCAGAACTATCAAGGCCACTCACATCGAAGGTGATAGTGTCGAGATTTTGGACGCAACGCAGAGCACGAAGTATTTCGGCAGGAAACTTACATACCATGACTTCCACATCACGGAGCTCGACAACAGGATCGCGTGGACACGAATTGACATGCAAACACTACCCTCTCGCAAATTGCCTACGCCTCTCCAATGGGACCGTAACGCCCAGTGTCATGCACGGATGCAGCTCGTGGGCCCTAACCAAAGACATGCTTACATTACTGCAGCGTACACAGCGGAAGAGGATCCGGATCATCGTGGGCACTGGCAGACGGCGCACGCGAGGGAATCACTGGAACGACGACGAGAAAGACCTCCAACGTAGCAGCGACCAACAGGAGGAGGGAGATGGAGCAGAGCGCGCAGAGCTTGACGGAGACTTCGCCGAGAGCAACCCAGACAATGACGACAACACTAACAACGACGACTTTGGCAACGACGGAAGCACTAAAAGCAGCGACAGCGACTACGACGACGACGGCAGTACCAGCAGCAACGACGGCGACACCAACAGCAACGACGGATTAGAGCCATGGGTGGACTTCACCCGACGAGCGACGTACACAGCCGATGCCCATGCCAGACGCGCGAATGTAGACGATTGGGCTTCGCACTACTTTGAAGCAAAGTGGAGATGGGCCAAGCGGGCTGCCAATTTACCCACCGACCGCTGGGCGCGACGCGCCGCCGCTTGGCAACCTCCGCTGCACGACAGAAGACCCGCACAACGAAAACAAGGCGGACAGCGGAAGCGTTGGGACCACGAGATCGTCAAATTTTTGGGCACCATGGATATGATTGACCACAACAAGAGACTCCCCGATGATACTGGCTGCGAATGTTGGTTTGCGTTGGCGCACGATAGCTGCACTCGGCAGGGCTTAGAGGACGAGCTTGTACGATAAACCATTGACCAGCAAGGCACGGACGACACGAATTGAGACACCCGGCCCGTCCGCCAAGACGTGAGATCGAACCAGAGCGAGCTGGACATGCACACCAATTCCAAGCTTTTGACCTCCACCTTCCGACCCCCAACTCTCACGTCCACATCCCGACTTCCAGCATGCGACATCCGATGTTTCACTTCCACCTCCACCTATCGACCTCCAGCTTCTGCCAGCTCACCACTCCCACCTCCAGCATCCAGCATTCCGACTTTCACTTCCACATCCACCCGTCGACCTCCAGCGTCCAGCAGCGCAGCACTCCGACCTCCACCCTCCAGCAGCATGTGACTTTCCACCTCCATCTCCACCCATCGACCCCCAGCGTCCAGCAGCTCAGCACTCCGACCTCCACCCTCCAGCGTCCGACTTTTCACCTCCACTTCCACCTGCCGACCACCCAGCACTCCGACTCCAGCATCCGGCTTCCGACTCTCCACTTCCACCTGCACCACTTGACTTCCAGCGTCCACTAGTTCATAACTCAGCACCCAGACTTCGGCAAACAAGGACTAGGAGCACTGAGGGCCCCTGCCCCCCCACGCAGGCCCTAAAGGGCCCCGCTCCCGGCGGAACCGAGCGCTCGCCTCGCCTCGCCTCGCCCCCCTCCCTCCTCCACAGTGGGGCGAACCAAGCAGGCCGCCTCCTCCACCTTTTCCGACTCGTCGTCGTTCTTCCCTCCCTCCCTCCGTCCCGTCTCACTCCTCCGCGCTCCCCAGACCGCGACTCTCTCGTAACAAATTGGCGCTTACGAGGCCAAGGTCCAACCGCAACAAAAAACATATCACTCACCCCACAGCTGAACGGCCCCCGGAAAATAACAATGGATCCGCGCCCCCGAAGTCGAGACACTGCGCTAACGGCAATGAAAACGCACTCCCGAAGCCACGATCCCCTGAAACACCTGCGGATCCGCGTTGCGAATCCGCCCTACAACTGGCCAGCCAGCCAACCAGCCATCCAGCCAATCGATCAGTCTCAGTTCGTACTGCTGTTCCTCCTCTCCCTAATCGCAAGAATGCCACGAGCTTGTCGCAAGCTCGCCTGCGCCAACTGTCGTGGAATGGCCAACAAGATGGCGACGCGGGGATGGTAATGTATCGACCGCACCGCTCCAAGCGTTATCGTTTCTCTCAGCGATGCCGTTTCCGTCGCTCGACTCTGTTCTCCCTCATGTCCTATCCTCGTCCATGGCCGTTTTCAACAGTTCCCGCCCGTGGCTTGACAGCCACTGATTGGAACCAGTGCAAAAAAACAGTGCATCAGCTGGCACGGCTTCCTCTCCTGAAACATCAGTGGCGCGCAACAGCCAACCCGCCAATCAGCCATCCAAATAATCAACCAACCAAGCTAGCAAATTCAGCCATGCAGTCACTAGAACGGAATGGGGCGGTGGTAACGGCGAAGCCCTTCGACATTATCGAGAAACTATGTACATATGAACAGAACTCTGAACGCAGACAATAATGTTGCCCATGGTGCACCATTGCACTCGCACAGGCTGTTTGTCAGCAAGATAATGCAAGCGGACGACGACTTTGCGAAGCACAACTGGACGACGCTGTGCTCCCACAACTTGCGCACATTGCCGCGCAGTCTTCTTGAAGCCTCGAACCTGCGGGTGGTTCTGAGAAAAGCCCTGGCGCCCTCGACGGCATCCTTTTGCTCTCCCGTCCCGCCTTTCTCGGGGAGAAGGCAAGGGAGATGGAAACGCGGGGGGGAAAGGCACAGGATGGGCGGATGGGGAGGGGAGGGGCGCAGGGGGGTGAGGAAAGGAACAAATAAAAATCTCTTGGCATGTGCCTGCTGTGTCCGGTAGCGCGCCGGAATTGAGACGACCCCCCCCCCGAGACGGGGCCCAGGGCCCAATCCCAAACCCGAGCCTGCGCCCGAGCCCGAGCTTGCGCCCGAGCCCGAACCCGATCTCGACCCCGAGCCCCCCCGCCCCCCGACGGGCACCACCTTGGAAAGCCCCCCAAAAAAACCGACACCGCCACTCCCCAGACCTCTCCCGGGGTGCGTTCTGGGGGGGATGTCGAGGCGAGTCCAGCGGTGGCGACGAAGGCCTCCCAGGGAGCCCACAAAGGGGACAGCGAGGGAGGGGCTCCAGCCCCCATGACCGGGGAGGGAGAATGAGGAGAGCAGGGGAAGGAGGCGGGGGAGCGACAGGGGAGGGGGAGGGAGAGCGACGAGGAGTGAGGAGGCAGGTGAGGGGAGGGAAAGGAGGAGCACGTACAAATGGACAGACGGGTGCCTGTGCCCCCTCTGACCTCCGCCCCCTCGGGTGTATACGGGCCACCGTCGGCTGCGGCGTCGGGCCGGGGCGGGCTTCCCCCGACCCCGCGGGGCGCCCAAGGGTCTCGGGGCGCGGCGGCCCTCCCAGTGCGGAGAGGAAGGCAGGAGGAGTGACTACCTACCAGACCACCCCAACCCAGCCCGAAGGCCCGAATTTCGGGTTGGGGGGGGCAAGGGTTCCATACGTGTTTTTTCGATGTTCCGCGACCCCCCCCACTGGAAATGGAGGGCAAATCTGAGCCTTCGGGTTGGGTTGGGGTGGTTTGGTGGGTGGTGAGGAGGAGGGAGGGCCGCGAGTGAGGGGAGCGTTGTCTCCCCCCCCGCGAGGATTCACCACAGGGCGGGTGCGGCCGACAGCGCCTCCCCGAAGAAGAGCACGAGCAACGCAAGGAAGACACGCAGGACAATCCAGTGGAACAAAAAAAAACGACGAACCACTTCCATGACAACGTCAAATACGTGGGAACAACATGACGAGGCCCATCCCGAGCAGCACGGGAACACATGTCGGCCAACCACGGCGCGAGGGAGGGGAGCGGAGGAGATGGGGGGGCGGAGAAGGAACGAGTCACGACCACAGTCACAGTCGACGTACTACCAGAAGGAACGCTAACTGAGGAACGAAGCCCCTTTGGGCGGTAACAGCGCCTGGGTGCACGAGGAGGGCTGGAGGGACAGCCACGGAATGACCTAAGGAACAGCGAACCCCTTCTAAACCCAAGGCGGTCCTTATTTCAGCGTCTTCACTGTATGGGGGGGCAACTGGTCGAGGAGAGGAGCAGGGGGGCAGGAAGGAAGAGGAAGGAAACGTTGTGGCGATCCTGGTCACCATCCATCTTGGTCAGCGTCAATTCGTGCAGCATCCTCGCGAGTCGGCGACACAAGGCATAGACCATGGCCAAGATCGGCGTCGACAAGATCCCGCGACATCTTGGTCGCGGTCAGTGCGCTGTCTCCCCCGGCAGGCGGCAGGAAGGAAGAGGGAGGAAGGGGATCCCGGCACGTGATGACGTCCGGCACGATGCCCTCCGTCTGCATCTGCTCGAAGAGCTCCAGCGCGCGTCCCTGAGCCGCGGCGCGCCCGCGCTCCGCGGAGGGCCGGGGCCATACGTTTCCGTCTCTGCTTCTCTTCTGGGTGGCGACGTCCGAACCCCGGCCCCAACCGACCATCCATCCTCCTGAACCGACCGGGGGCTGGGGCAGGGCTTGGACCTCGCCGCGTGTTCGCTGGAAACCGAGCCCTACCCCCGCCGCCCATCGGGTTGCCTGAATCGCTGATCGGCGAGGACAGGGTGCGGATTTCGCCGCCGATGTCTCTCTCTTTCTCCCTCTCTCATTCCCCCTCTCCCTTCGGTAGTTCAAAGATAGGTGTCCTGAAGGATGGGGTCCTAAGGACGAGGTGCCTCAAACAACGTAAATTCAACCTTGGATCACTTCATGTCCTGAGGACCCCGTCCCTCAGGACCCCATCTTTGAACCATCGACTTGTTTATCGTTTGTTTATTTTGTGTTTTTCTTTCTTTCTTTCTTTCTCTCTCTCTCTCTCTCTCTCGCTCTCCATATCTATATCTCTCCACCCCAACACATGTTTAAACATATATATGTATAATATATATATATATATATATATATATATGGTAAAAGAAGCACTCGCTCTCGGGGACGCACTGACCCAGGTCAATGCAGCCCGGGCCAGTCTGGATCCTGCAAGATCTTGCAGGATCCTGCGTACCAGTCCGGGACAGTGCAACCCTTGCTCTGCAGGATCCTGCAAGATCCGACGCTCTGGCTGACCCCCGTTTGCACTGACCCCCATCTCAAGGCTCCCGGGAGGTTGGTCATGGGGGGTGACCTACGTGGTGGGTGAAGAAAAGGGGCCCTAAAGGGGCCCGTTAGGACCCTTTTGGAGCCAGCTGGGGCCCTCAAGGGGCCTTGAAGGGCCACGCTAGTTTCTGCCCCCCCAAATTAAGGTCACCTCCGACGACCGCCCGCCCGATTTGCACTGACCAAAGACGACGCCAGAACGAGGACAACATCGGGTCAGGACAAATCGAGAATCTCTGAGATCCGGCGGCTCTGGAGGATGCCTCGGGCGCAGCGGCCATCTCAGAGCATTCCAGAACTATAGGCCTCCTAGGTGGGGTCCGAGTAGATGGGGTCGGAGGATCGCGCCGCATCGCCGATGCATCGGCGATGCGACTCGATGTGGGGCCCAATTTTCTCCACGCCGACGTCGCGAATGCATCGCCGACGTCGCCAGTGCATGGCCGATGCATCGGCGATGCATCGCCGATGTATCGGCGATGCGGCGAGATCCTCCGACCCCATCTACCCGGACCCCATCCAGGAGGCCTCGAAGAACGCTCTGCGAGCGTTCCGGAACGCTCTGGAGCAGACCCATACTCGTCCGAACTCGCTCCTCTGGCCGACGGCCTGTGGCCTCCCGCCCCTCCGCTCCCGCCCACGGCCTCCCGCCTCCACGTCTTCTCCCTCCCCCTCTCTCCGCTCCTCCTCCTCCTCCTCCTCCTCCTCCTCCTCCTCCGGGGGCGACGTGCGAAGGGGCGGGCCTTCTCAGGAGGCTCGGACGTCCCCTGGCCTCCTTCTCCTCAGGCGAGGTGAACCCCACCCTCCCCCTCAGAAATCGTGGGGGGTAGGGGTAGGGTTCGCGCGTGGCCCCCTACTCCTGAAAAAGTCCTGGGCCTCCCCCGAAGACACGGGAAACATCTCGGAAGGCGTGGGGACTTCCAAACTCCTGAGAAGTCCCGCCGCCTTCTGAGAAGGCCTCCTCCTTCTCCTCGCTCGCCGCCGATCACGGGGGGGGAGACATCGAGCTGAAATCGGCGATACCCGCCAGTCAAAAGAAATACGTGGAAACATTATCCCAGTGCGACCCTACCTAGGAGTTGGAGCCCATAGGAAAGCAGTAGTAGTAGTAACAGTAAAGCAAAGCTAAAGCAAAGCTAAAGCTAAGCTAAAGCTAAGCTAAAGCTAAGCTAAAGCTAAGCTAAAGCTCAGCTAAAGCTCAGCTAAATCTAAGCTCCAGCTGAGCTGAAGCTAAGCTGAAGCTAAGCTGCAGCTAAGCTGCATCTAAGCTACAGCTAAGCTACGGCTAAGCTACAGCTGAGCTAAAGCTAAGCTAAAGCGAAACAAAGCGAAGCTAAAGCGAAGCTAAAGCGAAGCTAAAGCTAAGCTAAAGCTAAGCTAAAGCTAAGCTACAGCTAAGGCAACACTAAGGTACATCCAAGGTACAGCTCAGCTGAAGCTAAGCTAAAGCTAAGCTACAGCTAAGCTAAAGCTAAGCTAACGCTAAGCTAAATCTAAGCTAAAACTAAGCTAACGCTAAGCTAAAGCTAAGCTAAAGCTTAGGCTAAAGCTAAAGCTAACGCTAAAGCTCCCAGGGGACTGGGGGAACCGCGGGGCGGATCCTGGGGGAACCGCCCGGGGAGGGGAGCACTGCCCGGCCCTTTAAGCATACAGGGTAAGAACCCTTCTAGGCAGAGCCTAGGTAGGGAATAAAGGAGGAAGACGGGTCAAGTAGCTTGGCGGGACCGCCCAAATAATAACAAGACGCTGTAAAAGCACATCGATTCTTGAAGTAGGAAGGCGCTTGACGTGCACAACCCCGATAGCGATTCCGAACGGACTTGGGCGGGATGGACAATCGGGCCCCTGTCAGCGATGAATGGGCGATTGGGGATCGATCCGTTCTCCCCTGAGACTTCCCCCCAAAAAACGTTTCCCCTGACGAGGAAGAAAGAGGGGCAGCAGAAAGCTGCGGCGGGTCCGTCTGCTTGCCCTTCTCGCACGCGCTGATGAGGGTGCTGTAGGTGATGACGTCAGGCGGGATGCCTTTGGCCTGCGCCGAAGACCTCTTCTTGCCTCTCCGTTCCTGTTCCTCCCTGTCGCAGGGCTGAACGCGCGCCTCCCAGTGCAGTCCTGAAGGGTGGTCATGAGGCTCCCTCAGGCTTCGCTTACTTTTCTGAGATGCCTTCTGTTGCACCTCCTCTGCCTCCTCCTCCTCCATCCCCTCATTCCCTTCTCCCTCCTCTTTCTCCTCCTCCTCCTCCTCCTCGCGTGCTTGAATTGCTACGCATCGCCAATGTGTCGTTTCACGCCCAAGAGACGCGCAATCCACCCGTGCATCTCTCTGTTGTGACCAGCTTGGCCTAGGAATCCTTCCTCCTCCTACTTCTGCTGCCCCCTCGAAGAGCCGAAGAAAGGGGGGGGGGCAGCTCTTCCGCTCCACCCCAGGAAGAGCTGAAGAGGGAGGGGGACAGGGCAGGCGAGGGAACTGGAGGGGAGAGACGGACGAATACTGTTGGTTGCGAGCTCCACTGGTCCATTGCCGCACGATCCCCTCGCTCCGTACTCTGGGCCCTGGCGACTTCGCTTCGCGAGGCCGACCCCCCTCTCGCGGAAAGGGGCACACCAACGTTCCGCACGCTCTAAGCCGCGCCACACTTGCGTTTGTCAGCGGCCACCTGGATCAACGCAGCCGCGAGGCGACGACGGGGCGCAGCGTAGCAGATAGAAGCGCAGACAGAACAGGGAAAGACCGAAGCGGCGACAGCAGAGGAGGGAGCGAGAGGGGAGGGAGGGGAGGGGAACGGAGGAGGAGGAGGAGGAGGAGGAGGAGGAGGAGGAGGAGAAGGTGGAGCAGGAGGAGGAGGAGGAGGAGGAGGAGGAGGAGGAGGAGGAGGAGGAGAAGTAGGAGAAGTAGGAGGAGGAGGAGGAGGAGGAGGGAGGAGGGCCCTCCGAGCGCGAAACTCTTCGGGAGGCGCGGGGGCGGCCGTGAAGACGAGTCGGGCACCAGCACAGCAAGGACGAGCCTGGGAGGGGGACTGCATCGCGCTGGAGGGGAGGGGGACGGAGGGTGACTACCTACCAGACCACCCCAACCCAACCCGAAGACCCCAATTTCGGGTTGGGGGGGGTAAGGGTTCCACACGTGTTTTTTCGACGTTTCCCGACCCCCCCCCACTGGAAATCGAGGGTAAATCTGGGCCTTCGGGTTGGGTTGGGGTGGTTTGGTGGGTGGTGGGGAGGTGCCAGCAGGAATCCAGGGTCACCGACCGTCGCACCTTGCGGCTCGCGATGCGCGTCCTCTTCGCACCCTCGCATCGCAGCTCTTTGGTCGTGAACGCGGCGCCAGAGGCGAACGTATCGTCGCGCCCCTGGGTAAGACGGGGAAAAGGCCGAGACAACATATACTCCCTAACGGTCACATGGCGTTTGCGAAAGAGCCGTGCAGCGTGTGCTATCTGCCTGGCCCGCGTGTTTGGGCGAAACGCCATGTTCGCAGTGCTATCTGTCTGGCCCGCTTCCAACTTGTCTTAGAATGTGTGCCCCCCCTCGAGGCGTGTGCTATCTGCCTGGTGCGCCCGTGGGAAAGGGGAGCCTGCCCACCCCGCTCTCCCCTACCTCATCTGGCCACGCCCCCTGGCCTCGCTGCCCCCCCGGCCACCCCCGGGGCAGTGTGCTATCTGCCTGGTGCGCCCGTGGGTAGGGGAGGGCTTCTTAGGAGGAGGAGGTGGAGGAGGAGGAGGAGGGTGATGTTCACGAGGAGCACGAGAGCAGCATGAGGAGGACGAGGATACTTCGAGCGGCGGCGCCGCGGTTGTGAGGATGTCTCGAGCGGCGGCGCCGCAGTTGCGAGGATGTGTCGAGCGGCGGCGCCGCGGTCGTGAGGATGTCTCGAGCGGCGGCGCCGCGGTTGCGAGGATGCCCCGAGCGGCGGCGCCGCGGTTGCGAGGATGCCCCGAGCGGCGGCGCCATCCCGCCCCCCCGCCTCCCCCCCCCAGGGCAGTGTGCTATCTGCCTGGTGCGCGCCCCTGGGGAGGCCGCGGCGCCGCGGTTGCGAGGATGCCCCGAGCGGCGGCGCCGCGGTTGCGAGGATGTCCCGAGCGGCGGCTCCGCGATTGCGAAGATGTTTCGAGCGGCGGCGCCGCGGTTGCGAGGATGCATCGAGCGGCGGCGCCGCGGCTGCGAGGATGTCTCGAGCGGCGGCGCCGCGATTGTGAGGATGTCTCGAGCGGCGGCGCCGCGGTTGCGAGGATGTCTCGAGCGGCGGCGCCATGCCTTCCCCCCGCCTTGCCTCCTCTTGAGCGCGTGCCATCTGAAGTTTCCTCTCTGTGCTGTCCCTCTGGACTGTCCGCGGGTGAGGACACGCGCTCTATCTGATATGCACAGGTTCGGGGGTCTGGGGGTCATGCGGTGCCATGTGTTCTGGCTGCTTCTGCGCTCTATCTGATCGTTAGGGAATATAGAACGTGGATGAATCGGATCTCTGAGATCCGGCAGTTCCAGAGGTTGTATTGGGCGCCGCGGTCAATCTAGAGTACCACGCAATAAGTAGAGAGCGTTCGAGAACGCTCTCCAGCCTGGTCCTAGCCCCGCCTGGCTGGGTTGGCCTGGGGACGGCATCCGACATCACGACTTTTTGGCGGCGTGACCCCCCCACCCTTTTTTCAATGGCATGGCCCCTCGGACCGCAGCTCAGTAACCGGCTCTTTAGAGCCGGGGGGGAGGAGAGCCGGCGATACGTAAGAGCGACCCTTGGGGCCGCGGGGGGGAAATCCAAGCGCGCAAGCCAAAACTATCCCTGTGGGCCCGCCCCAGAGGCCACTCCAGGGAGGGTTCGCTCTCACGTGTAGCCGAGGGGAGAAGATCGGGCGGACGGAGAAAGCCACCGGCGAGTGGCCCCGACCCCGCCTTGGCGGCGCGGCGCACAAGGGGGTACGGGGGAGGGGGGAAGGCCTCCTGGGAGGCTGCTTCTTAGACGGCGCCAGCTCTACATCTATAATTAGGCAAGGCCAACGCCTTCCAAGAAGCAGGGGTGTTTCTAAGAAGGCTTAACCCCCTCCCCCTATCGTTGCGGGCTGAACGACTTCTGCCGTCCCTCAGCTCCCGCTGCCCCAACTTTCCCTGGAACTCTCTGGACGCACCTGGATGTACCAAGGCTTACCTGGATGTGCCAGGACAAATCGGCATCTGCCTTGATTCATCCGGCCTGTCCCCACAAGTCGATTGGCGAAAAAAGTCGCTACGCCCCTGGGCACCCCTGCCCCCCTGCGGCAGTGGCCAGCCGCCCTCGGCCCAGCCGCCTGCCTGGACCGCGGCCGCTACAGGGCCCGCCCTCCGCGCCCCTCCCCCCGGGGCTGCCCCCCCCCCCGGGGCTGCCCCCCTCGGCGCGCCGCCGCGCCTGCTCCCCCGGGGGGCCCGAGCCGGCGAAGCTTCTGCCTCTCTCGCCGGCGTGTGACCTATCCGAGGCCACCGGGGCCAGGGTCGAGCCAGCAGCCCCAAACCCCCGTCTGTGGCATCCGTGGAGGCGCGTCGGCTTGTCTTGTCAGTGCAGCCACTTTTCGCGCGGGTGTCGGGGGGGGGTCCTCCAAAAATGATCCGGCGCTGTACTGAGAAGCATCGTCTTGGGGCCGACGGGCTCCAATACTTGGGGCATACGTGCATCGGCCTCGCGTGCTCGGGCCCAAGCATGATCAACATCTGCCTCCGTTGCAAAGAGCTTTCGACGGGTAACTGCATCAGGTGTCTCAGCCGGAAGTGTAGTGGGACACCTGCTAACCCTCGGAGCGCTAATTATTATTGGAGTCGGATCACCGCTGGCGGGCACGCCAAGCTAAACTCCGTTTGGCTGGACGCAGAGGCCAACAGTGCTATTCGCCTTTTCGACTAAGCGACCCTCGTGGGCACCTGTCTCCTGCACTCGGTTTCTCTTGTGTTGCGGGGGCGTGTGCCACCACGACGGCACGCTGGTGCACGTGCGCCTGCCAGCGTCAGATGTCACTGCCGTACTGGAAGGCTGCTCGGCCCTTCCCAGAGGTGGAGAGGACTTCGAAGGCAGTTCGCAGCAGATCAGCGCAGCGGCAATCCTCCTCTTTGTTGTTCTTTATTTTTTCTTCTTTTGTTATTTCAGGCGGTCGGGTCAACCTGTTGCGTGCTGAACAAAAAACGACTTGGCGCTGCGGTAAAGATCCTCCTCCTTCTCCTCCTCCTCCCCCTCATCCTCCTGCATGC